TCTGGTTCTCAGCCAGTTACTGTTCCTTCTCTGTGCTCTGCCTGCACTGTGACACCTCATTCTTGAAAAGGTGCTGGTATACAAATCACGTAGAATTTTCAGCTTCTCTTCCTGCAATTGTTCAAAGCTCAGACTCCTTCCCACCTGTGATTCTTTCTTGATGGCTGCCACTCAGAGCTGTGCAGAATAGCCATAATTGGAATGCTTGTGGTTTCAAGTAATAGAAAATCCAACTCAAATTAGAATCAACAACAAAGAGAATTTATTGATTTACATAACTTTATTTGGTACAGTGGGATTCAGGTAAGCCTTGAACTTACCTGTTCAAGTACTCCAACTTTGTTTCTCTTAAGTTCTTTCTGCTTTTCCCTATTCCATGTGTGGGCTTCATCTTTAGGCTGGCTCTCCTCATGGTCACAAAATAGCTGCCAGCAGCAAATGGTTCCTCACTGACATCCAGGGAGGCAGTGAGGGTTTTATCCAATTATTGTGGTGAGGTGAATATTGGGTACTGATAGATCTTGGCCTGGGTAATAGGTCTATCCCTGAAGCAATCAATACAAGGTAGATGAGATTACTTCAATTGGCTTAGAACAGTCAGGGTCCACATCCACATGTGGGAGATGGGGTCCATCCCACCCAAATTGCCTCAGTGCTGTACAGTGGGGAGTGGGATAGACTGGATGCTAGGAAGATACATCTGTCAAGATAGGCTATTTTTTCCTATGGTAACAAACAAGCCCCAATCTTGTTTTTTAACAGCAAAGGTTTATTTCTTGCTCATACTACATGTCCACTGTGGTCACTCAGGGGCACTATTTTATGTTTACTCACTCCAGGACCCACACTGATAGAGCTATCACCATCTCAAGCATTGTCTATTGTTGTTGCTAAGGGAAAGAGTATATAGAAAATTGCCTACTAGCTGTTAAAGTTTGGACTTAGGAGTGACGTACTTCTACTCACACTTCATTGACCAAGCAAGTCACATGGCCACTCCCAACTCCAAGCTGTCAGGAAGGATAATCCTATCATGTGCCTTGGAAGCAAACCATAAATATTTGGTGTCTGGCATTAATGTCAACTACCACAGGAGGCCATCAGAATACCCACTACAGAGGGCTTATGGAGACCACCCCAGTTTTTGTTGGGAAAAGAGCAACTTCTTGTTTTGATTGTTACCTTAAAAAAGGCCTCCCTACTGTACAGAACTCAGGAACTCAATAATCACTTCCTGTGTCACTATCAAATGCCTCCCAGGTGTTTTGCCATTAAGTGGAATCAATGGTTCTGTGAGGGACTTCTGTTAAGGTATCTCCTCAACTCAAAACAATTGGTTTTCGTGGTCTTGATCCGCAGAGGTGGGTTCCTGGTGAACTGCATGACGGGTAAGCTGGCCATGATTGTGGGGGGGACACTTGACTCAAGTTGGGACATTTAGAGCCTATTCCCTGAGGTTTTGGAATGGGAATTATCAGGGATTTTTAGTCTCTCTCTGGTTAGTTGGAATTGTATCACGTACTTGGGAGTGGTTGGTAGACATATTTCCCACTGGAAGCAGAGAAAACAAGTTTGCAGGAAGAGTCCCACTGGCAACCCTTGCTCTGCTTCCAGTCCATCCAGAAGTACAGCTGGGTTCTTGCCTTTGGCCTGAGAGACTCCTTCCCTCTCCCTGCGAAAAGTCTGAAGATAAATTCCCCTTTCATTTTTCTTAAACTGACCTGAAGGGTTAGTGGTACTTTCAGCCAGCAAACTCCTAACTGATATATGTTCTTTGCCTCTGGATCTGACACAAAAAGGTCCCACGTCGAGGCCATTCCAATAAAATAAAGGTCAGGTTGTAATTCTATTGCATCAACTACACTTCTGGCAGTTTCTTTTCTGCTTGAGAAAGCTCATCAGAATGTGAATGAGCACAGGTGACATTATTATAGGGATCACCTGGAATCTGCTTAAATTATTTTTTTAAAGGAAAATCATTTGCCTCCTTGGATAAACATTATTTGTGACACACTTCCCAACACTGGTATTAAGTGCATGCTGTTTCCTTTTCCTGGAATCCTCTCCTCATCAATTCTTTAGACCCAGCCCCAATGTCACCTCTTCTGGGAAGTCTTTCCAAACATTCCTATAGTATTAATTATGTCCTTCTCTGCTTCCCAAAGCTTGACACATCCATCTAGTGTTACATATTTTCTTCCAGAAGTACTTCTTTACACATCTGTCTCCTCTGAAATACTGAGTTCCTCAGTGGCTGGGAGAGTGCCTTGTTTATCTCTGCGTCTTACAGTGCCTGGATCGGAATAGATGTTTAGAAAAGTTTGTTGAGCAAATGAAGTTAAATTGGAGCAACATATCCCATATATACTAGTATTCATTCACAAAGTATTTATTGAGTACCTGACCATGTCACGCCACATTCCAGAGGCTGCAAATGAGCAACACAACGTCCTTGCCCTCAGGACGTTACAGATGATATTCAGGTCATAAGGGCTATGAGGAAAAGTAAAGCAGGATGAGGGGAGAGAGTGTGATAGGGGTTGGGACTTGATATTTTAGTAGAGTGGTCTTGGAAGATCTTTCTGGGGAGGTGTCTTCTGAGTAGAAATTTGGAGTAAGGGCACACACCTTATATCTTGGGGGAAGAAACACCAAATGCAAAGGTCTGGAGGTTGGAGTGAGCCTGCATGTTCCAGGAGCAGGAAGGAGGCTAGTGTGGCTGGGATGGAGTAAGGGAGTAGAGTGGAAGGAGATGCAGTTAGAGAGGTGGGGGAGGGTAAGGAGGCAGATCACATAGGATTTTGGAGGCCCTTGAAAAAAAGATTTTGGTTTTTGCTCTGAGTGAGGTGCGAAGACATTGGAGGCTTCAGAGAAGAGGAGAAATATGTTTTAACAGAATCCTTCTGGCTGCTTGAGAACAAGCTCTCTGAGAGCATAATAGATTCAGGGAGAGCAGGTAGAAGGTTATTGCAAAATTCCAGGAAAGAGAAGATGAGGGCTCAAATGAGGAAATTTTAAAGGTAGAGCTGACAGGCTTTGCTACTGGATTACATGTGGGATATGATAGGAAGAGAGGAGTCAAGAAGGACTCCAAGGTTTGGCCCAAGCCACCAGAAGGATAGAATTGACATTAACTGAGGTGGGGAAGTCTGTGAAAGGGGCAAGCTGAGGGGCAAGTTCCACAGTTTGGCTTTGGACACGTCAAGTTTGACATATTACTCAATACTTATGTATATATATATATATGTTCACTGGTTTTCAGGATCTGAAGGTTATAATGCAACCTGAAGTTAAAGTCAGCCTTATTGATTGAACACCAGGCACTGTACAGAAAACTTCACGTGTGCTTTCAATCATTTCTATTGGCTCACTTACTAATATTTTCATTGCCTTTTTATGGATGAAAGATTGAATAGCATGTCCAAAGTCACTCTGGGGGGACCTACCCGGTGGCACAAGAGGTTAAGTGCGCTCGCTGTGCTGCAGCTGCCCGGGGTTTGCCAGTTTGGATCCCGGGCACACACCGACGCACCGCTTGTCAAGCCATGCTGTGGCAGCGTCCCATATAAAGTAGAGGAAGATGGGCATGGATGTTAGCCCAGGGCCAGTCTTCCTCAGCA